TGCTCCGCCAGCAGTCCAGTATGGATCAGCCCACCCTTCCCAGACTCCGGGGATCTCGCCGCAGTCAACGCGAGAGCCAGACCTACGCTGATATGGGCTTCATGAATGTTCCTGATCAGGGAGTGGCTGGGTGAGATGACGGATCAACTGACTGCAAGAAATTCAGATACAAGCAATTAAAAGAACTATATACTGACTGAAGACTTTACAATCTTAAACCCTGGTTGGCTGGAACTCACAGATCAGTATGTTAGTAATTGTAACACACGTTTTTAAGAAATTAATTCTGTCATTCAGGTTATTATAGTATTTTTTTATTTCTGTTTTCAGTGTCATTTGAATTCAATTTGATCTTCACTCTGTCAGTATTAGTTTTTTCAGAGATACCTAAAACTTAAAATAATGTGCCAATTTTATTTATTATTTTACTTAATTTTTAGTCAGAGAAATTTAGTTTCAGTTTTTATGAGAATTGTTAGCTTTGATTTGAATGACAATTGTTATTTCAGTCTTTCAAAGGAAATATTCCCTTTGTTTTCTCTCAGAATGCATCGCAGACGTTCAAAAGAGTACAAGCCTCTTCCAGGTTCAGGGGGACCCAAACCCAAACCCAAACCCAGACCCCGCACCCCACAGTGCAGAGCAATCTACACTTATGATGCTCAGGACACAGATGAGCTAAGCTTTCAAGCAGATGATATCATAGAAATCACATATGAAGGTAATCTATTTTTATAACATTAAAAGTGAACTTTATACAGATTAGCAAGTGCTGCACTAACCCAAGATGTGCTGTCTACCCAGATCCTTCAGGTTGGTGGAAAGGCTGTCTTCGAGGAAAGGAAGGCATGTTTCCTGGCAACTACGTTGTGAAGATCTAAACCGGCATGCTATTAGACAGAATGTGATTCATAGCAGAAATTCAATCACGAAGAACAAAGCATCAGCGTTATATCAAAGCCACTGTGTGCCGAATCATATCCCCAAGATCACTGATGTTTACTACACAGGGTGCAAAA